GAGAAGGGGGGGGGGGTTGGAAGGGATGAGCAGGAAGGGAAGGGTACTGGCTGGCAGAGAAGTCACGAAAACCGTGTGCTCGAGAAAGCTGTAGACCTTCTGTTATACATTATTTCAAACATTGGTTTGCGCTCTTCGCCGAGCTTGCTGTGGAGCATGTACATGCGTTGCTGTAGACCGGGTCATGCGTAGATATCCTTAGTTGTATTCCTGACATTCTGACTTCCGCCGTAACGTGAAGAGAAGAACGTGGACTCATCGGATGCGCGCAAAATTAGATTTTAAAATGATCTTGTGTTTGAAGGGCGAAACCTCTCTTCCTGTGAGTCCAGCATGCACTGGATTGCTTGGATGTTGAAACCCTTCAGCGGAAGGAATGCCGAATCTGTTCACAACCAATCAACTAATCCGTATCCCCTTGCTAGCTTACCTTGTTTCCCTACCTATTGCCTAAGCAATCATCGAACCAGTCCATCAACCAATCAACTAATCCCTATCCCCTTGCTAGTTGTCGAGTCAGTCAATCAATCGACTAATCCCTGTCGCCTGATCTCTCAGCCGTCTAGCCTCCCAATCAATCTCTTCCTTTGTTAGATGGGCAGTGTATCTCTTCATGACCGTCCCATTTTTCTCAATCAATCAATCAATCCATCAATCAATCCCATTGCTCTGTTTTCACGTCCAAGCAATCCCTTAGCTATCTCTTGATCTCCCATCGAGCCCATTGCTCTCAGCTCATTGTCTTGTTTTCTTTGTTGGATTTCGTTTCCTCCTTTTTAAAACCTTCGTTTGATCTTCCGCAGCTGGTCGATTATCTTTCTTGTCCGGATCCCGTCCTTTGCCCCTTTCGATCTCCTGAATAAAAGTAGCGGCTATCGACGTAGTGGTTGAATGGCAATCCCAGGCTGGTCTAGGTCTGGTCCAGGTCAACTCTTCTGCACCAGAAGGTCATTCATCCAACCGCAACGATAGTGATTTTGAACGGCGAGATGCTCTCTGCTTATTAGCCGTCGCCACGCGCAGGTTGGGAAGTGTGCTCAACGAAGAGAAGTGTCTTCAAGCGAGTGCTTGTGGAGGGGAATGCATACGAGTTGGTGAAAACTCAACGAAAGTATGTCAGAGCCCCCGGTTTCTTGTCCGTCGCTCTCTCACGTAGCGGTCCCGGACTTGAGGGTAGGAAAATAGTATGAATGTTGTCGTCTTCAATATAAGGTGAACTGGTGGTTTTCATTGTGCTGATAGTGGATGGACTGCCAAGGACACTCTTCTCTCTCTCCTGTCGTCAATCTTCTCCCTGGTCGAACGCACAATGCGTGTAAACAGCTGTTTCCAGAGGGATAGCTGTGCGAAATGTCTGTTGAGCTGTTGGTAAGATCGATAAGATCTTTGAGAGAAGGCTGAACAGAAACATGGCACATGGGGTATATGCACGGATGTGTACGGGCCCGTCCTGGTGATGGTAATATGATTGTGCTGAGTAGCAGAACGGGAGGTGTGGAATGCGATCGCAGGTACCGAGGTCCTGAGTGTGTTTGTAAAGGCACGCGTGTGTGTGTGTGTGTGTGTGTGTGTGTGTGTGTTTTTGTGTGTGTGTGTGTGTGTG